ACTCTACAAAGGGCAACCCTTTCAAAAAGTGAGGTCTGTTAATATTTTTTGATACTCGTGGAAAGGAAATAATTTGAACTTCCTAAATATTCTTATCGCTTCACGAATGGACTCATTTGAATTAAGTTATGGCCAAAAAGGCAAGAAGTGTGTTTCCCCGGACTTTCAGGTCCCACGTCCTACTGCAATTCCAAGTGAGGTAAACTGAGATAATTTCCTGAAAGCAGTCTCCACGGAATTGTGATGAAATTTCTAAATGTTTTCGGCTTTTCCCGTTGCTCACTTCCTTGCTCTCCATTTCTTGTTTTAGAAGGCCTGAAGAAGGGTTCCACGGTAAGACCAGAGTCGAAGAAGGGACCCCCAAAGACAAGTGGCCCCCTAAGAATGCAGACCGACACGCTAACTCGCAAAGAATATGCCTTCTGCCACCTAACATGGTCGCCCACGCACCGATGTCGACGCGGCACGCCCATCAATTAGCTAACCACTTGTTTTTAGCCATCCACTAGAGAGAGCGCTGGCGTTGAAGAGGGCAGCACCGATGAGAGTCGCATCAATGAAGAAATCAACGTGCTAGAATGGGGCCTCGCTTCTCGAATCTTTGCCTTTTTTCATGATTTTTTCTTCATCATGGCGCCATTGACCGCCTACCTTCATTCTTATAAGCTGCCTTCTGGAAACTGCGCTTCAGGTTTGAGGAATAACTGCTCGTGAATGTAGTGTGAAGGACACAGAATAGGAAGGAAGGTCTTTATTAATTCCTACTCCATATTATAATATGTAAGCATGCACCCTCCTTTCAGTACAGTCGCTCGGAAGGTGATGCAGCCTTGAGTTCTTCCTTGATCCTACGAGGTTCTTTTGAAGCCTTGCATCAATTTATTTTCACTGAACTACCTCAAATAATATCCAGATGCGACTCCAGATTGTCGCATACTTACGATCATTTATTGCTTAGCTTTGCAGATGAACAGAGAAATTTGAAAGAGCTGAAGGAAATTATCATCAGAAGTTATAATTTTGCGATGTGTATAGATAACTATGAAATTTTGGTTTGACTCGAGTGAAAAACTTTTCAGGATCTGATTTATAAGAGCGCTGTTCCACGATCGAACGAACAAATCCATGATCAAGTTTGGTGGGTGCCGTCTAGCCATAACTTCAAGGTTTGTCCTATTTTTTAGTCTAAACCGTCATCATCTGCAGCAAATGTGATGGGTGAAAGGTGAAGCTATTTTGCGTGGAAGGGCGTAAAAAGTCTAGTCAAGTCGCCAGTCGTATTCCACTCTTTGGCTCTGACTTCAGCGCCTCAAGCTGGCAATATTTCGCTATTGGATAAGCATGAGAGTATTCTAGAAGATTGTGGGCATATTTATTGGATTGGTAAAAAATATTTCAGAGTTAATCCAAATTTTAGAATGTGGAGATTTCAACCTGAATCAGCGTTATAAAAGCAGTAATTCATGCAAAGCAGGTATAAATCGTGAAAAAAAACAACAACGTTAGGCGTGGTTGTTCGACCTTCAATAAGTACTACACCCGAAGTGTGGTGTAGGACGCAGTATGCACCTCCTAGTTCTAACCTAAAGAAGGAGCTCACTCTTCCCGCCACTTAAAGGCAAACCCCGGGATTGGCCCGACTAGTAGGAGGGATACCACTAGGGAAATTGTAAGGTCTGTAACTACCTAGATCACTCCAGCTTCGTCGCAAAAATTGCGCGGTTAGGGCGCCTTACGGGCCGGCAACCATCGACCCAATTTCCAACGCTCCCCCACCCCGCGAGAGGTGGTGGTGAGCATCAGCGTGCCTGACGTAGAGATCAGTGTGTCTCTCCTCTCTCTCTCTCGGTATTTGCCGTCTTGACCACGCTGTCTCGACATCGATACCGACATCGGACCCCTGCTGAAGCGTCGCAAGATTTATCTGGCTCTTACTTTTTCACTTCTCAAGTCGTTCTGCAGCTAAGGTCATCGACTACAGGAGCGCTGTAGCACCAGTTCATTCTTGGAGTTTGCCTTTGAGCGCTAATCGAGCAACACATTCTATTCCTATTTCAAAGCGACAAAATACCCTTATATTACGCTATGCAGAACCAGCGAGTCAAACTTTGCACCAGCGAGTCCAACGATGTACCAGCAGTCGAACTAGGTACCAGCGACTTATTTCAAACAGTGTCCACTGTCAAGCGCCACTTTCAAAAACCGTCCACCGTTTTGTTTGAAAGTAGCGGGCTTCCTTTAAACGTTGGGTCCCGCCACTATTGAGTCTGGCTTTCGACTCGCTGGTGCATCGGTCGATTCGCTGGTGCAACGTTCGATTCGCTGGCGCAACGCTCGGATCCAGCGATTCGCTAGCGAATCGCTCGATTCGCAAACTATGACATCGGCCACAGAGTGCCATTGTACCGCGTTAAGGTCAAGGTTACTGTAACATGCACTCGTAGTGACAGGAAGCAAAACCGGCTGGACCCTTCACCTTGGCACCTGCACTAAACTGGTTAACAGTGCATATAGGTGCATTCCAAGCTTCATAAAGTAGGCTATCTTTTCACTGGATCTGCTTCAATGATACAACGTGACCAGCAATCCAGATAGAGGAGCTGAATTCGAAGAAATAACTAACTTCTTCGAGTAAATGGAACTTACTTTGAATCATCCAGCATTTTCAATTCTTATTCACTGTCAGTTTTTATAAGGGAGCGGAAAATCTGTCTTTATTTTCTGAATACAGGTGTTCAAATGCGGTAAGCCCTAGCGGATTATGCTGAGTAAAGAAACTTTGAAAAGAATTTTGCCGCATTTTTGAAACTAGATTGTTCAAAATTTTTGTTGCACAGTTTTCTTTGAATAACATTTTTTCAGGCATCAAAAGTGACTGTGCTCAGTGCTGGAAAGCCTTACACTACGTACAACTTACAGTTAACTCTACAAAAAAGTCAATGCGATATACATGTTCGTTTCCATTTCATTGCCTACCTTTATGCTCAGAAATTGTTCTTTCTGTGTTCAAAAGTTGTTTCTCTTTTTTTTTCGAAATAATATAATGAATTGAACAGGGGAGGGGTGGAAGGGGTAGGAGTACGAATATCTTTTGCTCAAAAGAGAATGTCACGATAAGGTCGAAATTCGAAGAGGGGAAAACTCACCTATTTGAAACCATATGGATGCGGACCGACACGCAATTCGCAGCGAAGGATATGCCTGGCGACCTAGCATGGCCTCCCCGCGGCGCTATCGGCGCGGCACGCCCACCGACTGGCTAACCACTCGCCGCAGGTCTCTAGCCGTTAGCAGAGAGAGCGTTAGCGTTGAAGAGGCAGCACCGATGAGAGCCGCGGAAATTGACGGGCAAGGAAGTGGCCCAGTTTCTCGAATTCTGGGCCGTTTCTCATGATTTTTCTTCATCCCGGCACCAATGACTATCTCTACTTTAATTTTAAGGAGCTGTCCTCTATTCGTAAACTCCACCTTCAACGGCAATGATCACGATGACAGAAGGGCGGTGAGGATGTCCCAACCACATCCCCAGCAGCGAGCTACTGTAAGGCGATGATTCCGATCTCCTGCCGTTGTCGCTAGAAAACGCTCGCTCCATCTCAGCACCTGTTGCCGAACGCAGAGATAGT